TTCATTTCTCTCTACACATATTCAATCCTTGTAACTATGGTAAGAAAAAGTAGGGGACAACAAAAGGTTGAGATGGTGAAAATGAACAATGAAAGCAATCTCCAAGTCACTTTCTCCAAATGTCGAGTCGGACTTTTCAAGAAAGCGAGTGAATTGTGCACTTTATGTGGGGTTGATATTGCTATTATCGTCTTCTCACCTGGCTGAAAGGTTTTATCTTTTGGTCATCCTTGTGTCGAGACTATAGTGGAACGTTTCATTAGTGGCAATCCACCACAAGTCGCTTCCAGAACTATGAAACTCATTGAGGCTCATTGAAATGCTAGTGTTTGTGAGCTCAACATGCAACTCACTCAGATTATTTTGATTTCTTTCATTTTTAATATAAAATTTTTGTTATAAATAATATATATTAATTCTACTATATATACAGGTTCTTAACCAACTTGAAATCGACAAGAAGTGAAGTGAGGAGCTCAACCAGATGAAAAAGGTAAATGAGGACCAATGTTGGTGAATGGCTCCCAAAGAGGATATGAGCTTGGCACAACTTCAACAATTGAGGGCCTCTCTTGATGAGCTAAAGAAGAATGGGGCTAAGCATGCTGAGAAGATTGTGATTCGTGCCTCAAATAATCATCTTCATTTTCCTCGTCCTCATCCTCATCATCTTTTTTTTCTAAAAAGTTCTTCTAGTGGAGCTAGTCTTCCATTTGAGACAAGACCTGTTTCATTCAATACTAACGTTGTTCTATTCAACAATCCAAACATGATGCCTACAGAGAATCAGGGATTTGGCCAAGGATTCTTCTAAGTGAACTTTTGTTATTTATTTAAAACAACATTTTAATTTGTCCTACATACTAAATGCCTCATGATTGGTCTTTAGAATATGTTCGATTTTAGGGTTTTAGCATCCAATATGAGTAAGGGTTTTGGTTTAGAAAATAAGAGGCATCTTATTTATGTTATTTATTTAAATATTTTGTAATTGTGATTAGTGAATTTCATCTTATTCTTAATATAATCTTTCTTTGTTCAAACCCTTTGTGCATGATTATATATATATTACTATATTTCAAAAATTCTACTACGCCATTTTTTCAATGTGTTGTGACGCCATTAACCAGTACTTATATAACATATCTTAATATGTATCATATTCATAAGCTAAAATAATTTATTAGTTAAGAATAAATGTCTTTAACAAATTTAATTAAATTTTGCTAAATAATTTGTATATCCTATTAATCTAACCACAGTTCTAATACTTGTTACGATATTATTTTTCATGAGATAAAATCTTCACTATTTATTGATTTTTTAGTGTTAATTGTATTCAAACTATGTTCCTACACAAGCAGATTTTAAATTAACCACATAAACGCATTTGTTAGGTAATCTTACCATAAAATAAAATTAATATGTACATGCATAAGATGTATCCTATAACCATTTTTCTGGCAGCTGTCAATGAATTTTCACGAGAAATTACAAAATAATATAAGATTCACTCGACAATATATATGATTACTCCAAAATGGCCTTTAAGTTTATTATATACTAATGTTATGATTCTTTTAATTATAGTGTAGATTTCAAAAGTTATGTACGTTGATTCGAAATATTCATTGTAAATGGATACTTTTATTAAGAGTTATGATATTTCTATGTTCTAACCTTGACTGTTACTTAAAATCCATTTACTTATATTCTATTTTCTTGAACGTTCGTGTCAAACTTGTTTTCTTATCACATTGATATGAAAAGTACACGGATTTAAAATTGAATTATTACTCTAAACAATGTAAATGTATAGTCTTTTAAAAATATTCTACTTTTGTGAGCAATGTGGCATGAACTTTTAAATATATAAACAATATATCAGATATCTTCTTAAAATTTTCTTTTTTTAAATAATCTATTCAACTTTATTATTTAATTTGATACTAATGTCAAAACCCTAATATTTAAATCCTAATGATTTTATCCTATTTTTTTGTTAGTTTACAACACAAGATCGATAAGTTCATGCAATAACCTTACATCTTTATTATTTAAAATATCTTGTTCACTATTTATCATGTATTTTACCTTTATTGTTATTTTTGTAAATAACCAACTTGAAGAGAAAATTTGTGTCAAATGATTCTTCAATTTAAAGTTATATATATTGGACCAGACTTTTATTGTATCAGAGGTAAGAATGAAAGTTCTTTGAGTATATTAGTGAAAAAGTGAGAAAGAAAATTCTTTGAAAGAGATCAAAGGACAAGTGGTTCTTCTTTTGAGTCTGAATACATCACTTATCTTGGAACAATTGAAAAAAAAGGGGAAAAGATATGGCAAATTGTGGTGTGCATGTCGACTAAGGAACAAAGCAAAATTTAATG